CTGTATGGTGCTGTGTTTTGGATTTGTGAGTCAAATATTGATAACCCACCAGTGTTTCGGCTATTGCTGAGCAGTGCTTGCACAACATCAAGGCTTTCTCTTTTCCCCACTCTCCCTGCCCCCATCAAGCTGAGGAGAGGCTGGGAGGGGACACAGCTGGGACAGCTGACCCAAATGCACCAAAGGGAGATTCCCTACCATAGAAGGTCATGCTCAGCAATAAAGACTGGTGGTAGAGGAAGAACAGGGGGAGGGTGTCTTCCAGGGTGGCCGTTGCTCAGAGACTGGCTGGGCATTGGTCTGCTTGTGGGAGGTGGTGAATGACTGTCAGTGCATCACTTGTATTTTTCCTCTTTCTTTCACTTATTAAGCAGTCTTTGTCTCAACCCACGAGTTTTCTCACTTCTTGCTCTTCCTATTCTCTTTCCCCATCCTGTTGGTGGGAGAGGAGTGAGTGAGCGACTGTGTGGGTGTTTAGCTGCTGGCCAGGGTCAACCCACTGCAGTGTCATTTTTCATAAAAAATAAAAAATAAAGCAAAGAAACAGTCAGACAGGGTTTCAACCCTCACAACTCCTACCTTCTACATGTTATAGCAGTCACTCTGAAAACAGGCCCAGCTCTTTCAAAATGTACAATAACAAGTATACATGCAATTCAGTTCCTTACCACTGCAGTTTTTACCCCTTCCTCATACTTTGTCTAATAAGCCACAAGAATATTTGTGAATAAACATGTTTTGTTTTCTGTATGTGACCAGCCACTTTCAAAATATCTTGGGCCCTCTTGGTCTGGCTTCACAGCTCTATTTTGCCCTTGTAAGCAGCCTAAATTCAGACAACCTCTACACCTTACTGGCACTTGCAGGTATGACATTGGGGTTCTTTTGAAAGCACCCATCTCACTCCCATCTGCTGGCATCTGTCATGTGACACCTATCACATTAGGAAACAGGAGACACATGGCAGTGCCCAAGCCAGGCTGCCGAAAGCTGTCAGCTCTTCAGTTAATACCTAGCTGGAAATACACTCCTGGGAGTGAGCACGGTAGAGCGAGGAGTTTCAAACCCTGCTCTTGAAGAGACAACAGACATGTCTTCCTACAAATGTGTGCAAGCTCAACCCATTTGCTCATCAGAAAACATCTGGGATCAACATTTGAATCCCAGATGAAGCGTTCATTCCACTGCAGATGGATCCACCCAAAGTATTTCAGGCAGTGTAGTGTGCATCTGTTCCTCTAGATCGATGGGTATGCAAAGCATGTTTTTTTCCTAAGTATAAATTATATGTTAAGGTATATTTTAATCCTTGTCTATTTTTCTGGCAGTGCTGAAAGTACTGTCATTCCAAAATATTTCTTCTGAGAAAGGCGCCACATTTGGAAGGCATTCTAACATGTTTCTAGCCATGAAAGCAATAGAATAAGGAGTGTAGGGCAATAAGCAACAGTCATTTCATCAGCAAACTCATTAAATAGCCACTTTTGAAAGCAAACAAGACAGGCATATAGAATGAAAGCAAAAGATAATTGGCCACCAGGTGTCAGTAGTTATTCTCTTATTGTAGTGGAAGGGTTACTTATCAAGACTGCAAACCACCTTGAGTCAAGGAAGTCACAAAATTAAACTGATTTTTTGTTGTTGTTCAGACCAGGAATTTAAAAATTATGAGAGGAATTTGTGTTTCTGTCTGTATAGAGTACAATAATACAGAACCTACCATTCGTGTATAAAATGGTCTTTTCCCTCCATATCCTATGAAATCATTGCTTTTTTGCAAATTGCAAAGATTGGCCTTCAAAGCAAAGAAAGTGCAGTTGATGAAAGTGCATCTGTGGTCGATCCATGCAAGAAATCACTTGGGACCTGGTAGGTCTTCTTCACTCTATCCTGATCACCTCCACTCTGCTCTGCCTACCTAGTACTATAACATCCCTCCTCCAAAGTGTGATCAAACATAGACTTTCCTGCCAGCTACGTGGTCTCAGTGGATGACAAGGCAGCACGAATAACCTGGTTAACCTGGTTCTATAGTAGTCGTGAGATAATGTTTTCAATTTTTACATCTAAGATTAGCATTTATTTTATTTTTTCATGACTGCAGAGTGAGTTTACTTGATTGTTACAGTGACATCATTAAAATGTACCTCAGTGTTTGTAACTTTAAACCCCCAGAGAGTTTTCCTGTTCAGAAGGCAAAGATTTACTTTGGTATCTAGAGAGTCATCACCACTCCCCTTCTCTGCCACCACTGCCTGCTGTGAAACATGGCACAGTATCATGTGTCATAGACATATCTTTATCACAGTCGGGTCTTTATCAATGATCTGGGTGAGAGGATCGAGTGCTCCTTCAGTAAGTTTGCAGACAACATCAAGTTGGGCGGGAGCCTTGATGTGCATGAGGCTAGAAATGTCCTACAGAGGGATCTGGACAGGCTGTATCAATGGGCCGAGGGCAATTGTATGAGGTTGGACAAGGCCAAATGCCAGGTCCTGCACTTCAGTCACAACAACCCCATGCAATGCTACAGGCTTGGGGAACAGTGACTGGCAAGATGCCTGGCGGAAAAGAACCTGGGGAAGTTGGCAGACAGCCAGCGGAACATGAGGCAGCAGTGTGCCCAGGTGGCCAAGAAGGCCAACGGCATCTTAACTTGTGTCAGAAATAGTGATGCAGGAATAAGGAAGTGATCGTCCCCCTGTACTCAGCACTGGTGAGGCTGCACCTCAAATACTGTGTTTGATTTTGGTCTCCTTATTACAAGAAAGACATTGAGGTGCTGAAACCTGTCCAAAGAAGGACAATGAAGCTGGTGAAGGGTGTAGAGAACAAGTCTTATGAGGAGCAGCTGAGGGAACTGGGGTTGTTTGGTCTGGAGAAAAGGAGGCCGAGGGAAGACCTCGTCACTTTCTACAACTACCTGAAAGGAGGTTTTAGCCAGATGGGGGTCAGTCTCTTTTCTCAAGTAACGATAGGACAAGAGGAAATGGCCTAAAATTGCACCTGGGGAGGTTTAGATTGGATTGGAAAAATTTATTCACGGAAAGGGTTATCAAGCATTGGAACAGGCTGCCCAGGGGAGTGCTTGAGTCACGATCCCTGGAGGTATGCAAAAGACTTGTAGATGTGGAACTTTAGGGACATGGTTTAGTGGTGGACTTGGCAGTGTTAAGTTTACGACTGAACTGGATGATCTTAAAGGTCTTTTCCAACCTAAATGATTCTGTGATAGAAGCATCCGCAACACTGGCTGTGTGCAACCACTGCAGCTTAGCTCCCTGATTCAGACAGGGGCTGCAATGGGCCTTAGTAATGGCTTGGATGCTCTGTTGGAAGCATGTGTGTACCAACATGACAAAATACAAACTAGATCATGCTCCCTGATCTGCTGTGAGTTGATCTGCATGCCAAGACCTTGACTTACAGAACTGCTCAGGGAGGCACCTGAGTTTGACACCCTTAAAGTGTTTGTCACTGCGGGTCAGAGCCCAGGGATTCTTGAACGCTTGTCCACCTGATCAGGTCATATGTTTTTAAGCAAAAACATTTTCTTCCTAAACTTCATTTGCATTGGTTGGTGTCCCTGTTTTTTCGTTAGGGAAATAGTGAAAGTGCATAAAAGTTCGTGATCCTTAATCCAGCTAGCATTGATTTGGCATTCAGAAGACATATATCATAAGCCCAGTGGACAATTGGCCTGGGTGACGTGTCTATATCTTAATTTCCCTGTGTGGAAAGTGGAGGAAAAGGCATTGACTGTCCTTCTAAAGTAGTTCTAAGATTTACTATAAAAACCTGCCACACAACACCTAGATATTTTTATTATTGTTATTATCTGAAGTTATGCAGCAATAACAGGAAGGCAAGATCATCAATGACAGCTGAGCAGAGCTTTAGTTAGAAAATGGTGTGATGATCCAGGCTGACATTTTCATTCCTTTATAAGCTCATTTATTGCCTATAGCATTTGTTGTGAGAAGCAAAGAAAAGTGGGAAAGCAGTTTGAAGCAATCAAACTCTAATACAAAGGCTGCTAGTGAACATTATGAATTTTTAGGGAAGCTGATAGAAGAAGGAGCAGAGAAACTCCAGACCCTTGAGACTCTGAGAAACAGACATCAGGAGACACTCTGCAAGCAAACTGAGTACCTGAATACACCAGTCTCTGCATATTCATTTTCATGTAGGGCTGGGCACTAAAACTTTAACAGAGAGGGTCCCCTTTCTCAGTCAGATTGCAGGCTGGACACCTCGAAGCGATGCGTCCCAACCACCGGGAGCTTTGGGATAGCCTGGTAAACCTTGTCTCTGCCAAGGCTCAACAAGCCCCTTCACAGGGATTTGGAGAGGCAGGTCCTTCTTTATCCAGCATAGCACTGGATAGATTTTTGTAAAATGTTTTGAAGTGTGACTGTGCCAGATCCTTGTGTCTGACAATTATGTTTGTTTAAGCAAGACCTCTGAGTTTGTAACAATGGAATTATCTATTTTTCAGGACAATTAACACAATGTTTTTGTACGAGCTGAAGGTCAGAGGATTAATGTGGTTTTATCTACAGTGCATTTTTAAAAGCTAATTAAGAATCATTCAGTTCATTCTGTACTAAAGACTCAGATCTTTCACATTGGGTGACTCTTGATCCTATGCAGTAGCAGAAAGAGAGAGGGAGAGAGAGAGGAACGGAAGCAGAGAGAAACAGAGAAAGAGTGAGCTGGCATGCAAATAAACAAATACATTACAGGGACACAGTTAATGGAAGCAATAAAAAACTCCATTCTGGTAACATTAGAGATAAAATTATCTCCTGGACAAAAGGGCTAATCTAAAATATTAACCAGTAAAAACACTCAGTGTTTGCAATCACAAGCATTCCTTGTTTGAGGAAGAGAGAAGGAGAGGAATAGATGGAAGTGTTGCTATCAGAGCATAATTTTAGAGACGTTTCTATCACCTCATGCTTACCGAGTATCTCCTCCTCTCTCTCTTTCTTTCTCACCTGACAGCTTGTGCACACCACTGCTCCTCTGTGGGGAAAGCTTGGTTAGCGGGCCTCCTGTCAGGGGTGAGTCTTCTGGGACAAGGTAGGTGAGAGTGAGGAGCAGCGGTGGCAGCTCCTGGCAGAAGGAGATGCTTGTGGACACGGGGATGGGCACGGGGGTGGTGAGGAGGCTGCGTGCCCCGCACACGCCTCTGATTCAGGGATTGCAAAGCTTGCGGGAAGCAGAAGGAAACACAAAATCAGAGGCATCTGGAGGTAAAGCAGGGATTTAAAAATGAGGGCGAAGAGTTTATTTTTAATGCGGTGGCCTCTGCCTAGCCTTTTAATGGGAAAAGGTAAGAAAATTGGAAGCTGTTCCTACACTCGTGCTTTTGGATGCTTATCTGCACTGCTGATTCAAGCACTCTGAGGTTCCTTTGCTGTGTCTGCCCAAAGCTTGTAAATACTATCAGACATTGAGGTGCATCATTTCAAAACTGGGCTATGCACTACTGTTCTGTTGATCAAATGTGGCAATTATTTCAGGCTTAAAACCTTTTAGGGATAACAATAGACGCTGCCAATCAAAACTAGAAAGTACACACACATTCAAAGAGCAAGCTGAATGAGAAATAATGGCAACATGTATAGCTAGAATATATGATAGATTACCATCCTCTTACACAAAAGCTAGTAAACTCTTCAAAATGCAGCAACCCAGGGAGCTAATAAAAGGACAGAAATGTGCGGATATCTCAGTTTGTCTAATTTGTGTCTTTCTAGCATTGGAAGGATGACTCACTGGATTTAGCAACAGCTTGTGAAGATGAACATATTAATAACTTTATGCTGCAGCTCTGCCACAAAATGTAATCTTTTACAATTCTGTATTCTCAAATGAAACACAAGCTTAGAACCAGAATAAAATTAGAAAAGATATTTGAATTATCAGCTTATTTTCTTTTAAAATCTGTGTTTATACACTTAAATATGCAACTTTTCTTGGAAAAGAGTACTGCCTTTCATTCCCATCCCTTACCCAGTGTGCCACTCCCTACTATAACAGACTGAAGAGTATTTAAATATGGAGCTACCAGGATAGTACTCCAAGGTATTCTGTGTCATTCTGTGTATTTTTGCATTGTACCAAACATAAATTAACTTCAGTCTTCCCATCCATAAACACTTGAATAGGAAAGATTATGTAGACTGTGTACGACTCAGTGGCAAAGTCAGTTGTGTATTGAAATTTGTATGTGTAATCCACAATGTTTGTAAATGATGGGATATATATCCTTTCAGCTTTTGATAAAATTCAACATATTTTAATAATTAGGTAACAAAGCACAAGGCCTGCCTTGAGGACACAGCAACTGTAGCCCTGAATCTTTCAATCTCATTTTAAATCTTTCTCCATGGTATTAGGCATTATTCTAGTCTACGGAAAGATTCCTCTGAGTACTTGATGGCTTGTAGAAGGTTATATAGAAACTGTCTGACAAAGCAGCAAGTAGAACCTGTGTTTCTAAGTATTAAGATGATGACCAAACCACTAGATGGACTATTTTGTTTCTCTTGATTTTAATGAGAAAGCTTCGCAGACTGTGTCACTTACTGGAGTGTGTTTGTATTTGTGCATTCAGCATACTTGCAAATTTGCTGAAATAATGGGATAGAAAATTTACAAGAACTTCAGTGTAGAGAAGAGCAAAATGTTAATTTCTAATCTTACTGAAAAAATCATGTTTTTATGCTAAATAGCATACAACATAACGGATTAGGTTTAAGACATTCACAAACTTTTTTTTTAACTTTTTAAAAAATTGTTTTCTGGGTGTGGATAAAGGCTCAAAAAAATAGCTGTTTTCTACCACATTAGGTGGTTTGATGTGTTGATGTTTCTATTTATTACCTAAAATGAGCTGAATTTGTGCAATAATTCACAAAAAAATCTGTGCACTCCATTGAGTTTTTCCATGCAAGGCACCCTTTGAAACTACTTATGCTCTTGATTGATTTAGTGTGTAAGAGAAAGCAGTGTTTCTAATGTTTTTGTAAAAATCCCAAGCTCAGAGAATTGTAAATTACATGAAGTATATATATACATACATATATGCATATGTATAATATGCAAAAACTAACAAATATATATAATGTAATGGAAAAACTTTACATATATATATAAATATACTCTGAGATATAGATATATATATATATATATCTCCAGCTTGGATTCTTAAGTGATTATGAATTACCTACACTCCTATCTCAAAAGCTTAAAACCTGAAAGTGGGTACACTAAATAGTCAGATATGTACTGCAGAGAAAGACAGTCTTGAATTTCTTACCTGCTTTTTTAATTTCAGGGACAGCTGTCTTCTCATGAGCTTTCTCTTTTTTCCCTTCTTTTTCTAAGATTTAATTAAAGAAAGTAATTTGATATGCTGGAACTCTGAATCATACACTCAAATATGCAGTCAGCCAAGGCGTGGTGGGGACTTTTTTGCGAGCTTAGTTTAGATTACTGCCTTTTAGCACTTGCACCCAACTAGCCACAAAACAATCAGTTGAAAATGAAAATTAATCAGTATGCAGGAACTATGGATGCTTTGGACCCTTAATAATTCATCAAAGGCTGGGCAAAAATCATCAGTGCATGAATGTGGTGCCTTTTAGCTTAAGTTTCACTAGCAATGAGATCATTAATAAATAATGAATGACATAAATATTTTCCCATGAAAGCAATACCTTAGTGGATTTTAAATGCTTCCTGGGAATGAATGATCCAAAACGTTATTTTGATGGATATCAAGGTTTTGGAGTTTGGTCATGGCAATCCCTGCCTTCAGAAAATGACATACCATGAACTGAATGATATGTCCCATTAGTGTTGTATATGGCAGTGTCGCTATGTCCCGCTATACAGAGAGACTCCATTAAATTATTTAACAAGCCTGTAGATGGCCACCGAACAGCACTTCTTATTTGTCGCAAAAAGAGTTTAGAAAATAGCGGACACTGAACACATCAGGCATCAGATACTGAAGAAGCAGTAACATGCAAAAAGAGAAACTAAGCAACTAAGAGCAAGACAGTACAGAGCCAGAAGTGTAGGACTATCCTAACAAAAAACAATGGGATTTGAGCCAGGAATGAGAGTAAAAATGAATGAGACCAATAAGAAACATTCCCAAACCATACCTTTCTTCTTAGTTTCAGTTGCAGCCCTCTTTACATCACTCTTTTTCTTTTCCTCTTTTCTCTCTAAAAAGGAAATAGCAGTTCATCTGACTATTTTTACATATAGATATAGATATACATATATACACATGTATATGTAAGTACTTACATTTGGTATGGGAATCCTTGTAAATGCGATAGGTTCTAGATTTGATAAGCAGGTCGCTTATTTAGGAGTTTACTGTCAGTAGCTTAGAAACACAGCTTAATACTCAGAGTGGATGTGAAGCTAAGGATAGAACTGGAATCAGTATGTACACCAGAAAATTACATAAGTACTAATTAATGAAATTATGCCCATTAACTTGGCTCAGCTGAGAGTTTATTGTGGGGATTCAGTAGCCATGCACCAGTTCTGCTTCTTTTATAAAATCTGACTGAATGGCAGCAAAAATTGCAAAAGGTATTTGGGAATAAGTGCAGAATTCCATGAAAAGCCTGAATATGTACTATATCTTTATACCACTTTTTATGAATTGATTCTTTGAAACTGTTATTACAGGACTTCTGTTATTCATGGAGAATTACCGTTAAAGCATCATCTACAAAAGAACATGACTTGCTCTTTTAAAAGAAGTCTATTTTGTCAATTAATTGGACAACAGTAAAAGTAAGGATAAGGTTTTTCCTTTTTTTACAAAAAGCTGCAACAATTTAATTACTTATTCCATGAATGTTATTAATTAGAAAATTGAGAATTCAGTAGAGGAAATAAGGAAACTAAAATATTTATTTTTCCTTTGGGAAATGAATTCTTATTTTGGTGGGGAAGAATTAGAGTGCGAGAATAGCTAACCTAAATGCTTTTTTTAACTGCTTATCCACAGAAAGCCAAGTCTGTTGCCTTCAGTTTATGCTGCATGGCTTTGGGTGATGACGTAATTAGTAGAGCTACAGTTTTCTTTTTGTGATATTTTACTGTTATGTATGTGGATAAGAAACCAAGATTTGTTACCATACAAACCAGCACAAACACAGGACTATAAGCCTTTAAGTGAGAGTCTTTTCTTTACATGAAAAATATTTAAGATATAGGAATATTTTCTGAAGCCAGCAGATCCAAGAAACAAATATGCTGTTATCCCTTGCATAAATTAACATGAAGATAAAGGAAAAATGAAGAAACTTACTTTTCACTTCTCTAGTTACCACAATAGATTTTTCTTCTGCATGAAAAAATATATACAAACAAGGAATGAAAAAAATTAATTGAAATATTGCACAACATGCTTCCCAAAACAAAACAAAATACGAGTATGCTTGATAGAAAAATTGTGATTTCCATAGAGTACATGAATTCCACAGTCAGTCCAGGGTGGTTTCATAAATAAAGTAATTTTGGCTATTGTGGAGGTAATGTTTTTACCAACATGCAGGATCTCCCCTAATCATACTTCTGCTGATTTTCTGACAATAGTGTTTAATGTTAAGCATCAACTTGACATGTTCCAGTTCTTTGTTTTAAGCAGATTGGTTCAAGGTGTTCCGCTTGTTGTTGTCTTGACATAATGAAGCAGAATCATAAATCCTTGCATGTGTTTTACAGAATGTTTCTCCCAGTGTTTTGGATGCTTAATTCTCCCTGCTGAAACCCTGAGTGTATTGGACTTCAAGCTACAAATTCCTTTGTGTTGTGAGTGTGTTTTATGATACTCAGGTTTCTTAAGCACACACAGAGCATCAGAGCAGTGATCATCCTCCACGAGCTTGTTTGGAGCTTCATTTTTTTGTGTATTTTGAATATTCTTGTTATTGTCTGTCTCTGTGGTTCCCAGGAGTCTCCCTCTCTCTCTTTGACATGCTGTTCCAGAGACTCATGCTAGGGACCGTGGGTGCTTCTTCAAAATGGAAGATTCTTTAGCCTCAGATTACAGACAAGCTGTTCCACAGCTCTACTTTTCTATGCCGCCTATGACTTTTCAGTGTTTCATTTCCACGCGCAATGTACAACCCTTCTAATTTTTAAAATGTAGTTTAATTGTTTGCTTACTCAGTCTGATTTAACTAAAACTGTTAAACATATCAAGTCAATCAGCAACTTTCAGAAATAAAGAGCTTCCTTCTAATTGTCTTCCTTCTACTAGTCTTTACTCCTAGTAACTACAGACTGAAGTGCTGCTGGTACTTCTATGATTTACACTTTTTTTCTGAGTGCCTCTGTTCTGGCGGAGCAGTTAACAGCTCCACTCTTCCAGTTAGGTTAGGTTTTTTGCTTCCTGATATTCCTGGTGCTAGGTGATGGACAGGAATATTTTCTAAACCCAAGTTCCTTACAACCAACAACATTCTCTTTAATCAGAGACCATTTCCGCCTGCAAATGTGCAGCATGTTTCATGCTTCTAGGGCGCAGCTAAGCCACATGAAATCTGCTCCAAGTTTCATAGCAAGGTTCAGAGCCATATGTGTCTTGAGAGCCATGAGCTGAGACATGGAGCTTTGAGAAATGGAGCTTTCTATGGAGGATGTACAGGAGGTAGCAGGAATTTTTACTGCAAGTAGCCTAAAGTGCAAGGAGACTACATCCTTGGATGCAAAGTTTTTATTGCTAAGTCATTCCACTAATTAATTCCACTGACATAATTTTCTTCCATCAAGCTCTCAAGTTGCAATAGTCAGAGCGTCCAGGGAGCCTAGAGACATCTGTATTCGTTATGAATTTTCTAGAAGATGATTACATAGAGGTATTAAAGGACTGTGGCCCCTATTTCCTATTAGCACTGCCCAAGGCAAGATGTGTACTCCTGCTCAAGTCTCAGAAAAGTGGTCACAGGGCTTCCACTTACATCTCAGCTGCATCTAGCCCCAGTGATGTCCCTCAGAACTACTGGTGACAAAAGGTTATGTAAATGAGAAGGATGGACTTGGTAAATGGGTATTATAAAAAGAGCTATTTGTGATTTAAGGAAGCAATCCCATTTCTTGAGTAACTTTTTTTCCTCTCCATTTGAGTAGCTCACATTTAGATTGTTGCATATTAAGTGTATATTTAACACCAGCAAAAAATGTCATTTTTGAAGCAGTAAATGCAGTGGGTTTTCTCCAGATATGTACACAGCTAAATTACGAGGCAGAGCAAAAAATTAAATAGGAACTTAGGCAGGTCTTTTGCACTGTAAAATACAAACCCCATCTGTTAATTGAAAGTGCTTATTTTTTTCTCTAGGAACAGTAGCAGGACTACCAATCTCCACAGATCAGCTACACAAAGAGGGATCACCATACGCACAAACAGTGGGTTACTCAAGGAAACACAAGGTGCTTTTGACAATTCAAGGTTGAATACAATATGGAATTCAAGTGCAATTGACTGTTGAAAAATCTATAGTTATTGTTACTGGTTTTTGATAATGTAATTAATACTTTTTTTTCACTGGGGAGCACTAGTCCTGAAACACATCTTTACGTACAGGGTGTAAGAGATATGCATACAAAAAGACCTCACCTTCATAAGCCTGCAATACCTTTACAAGAATGAAAGATGGCAGAGTACAAGGTGACAGAATTGACCAGCAAGACAAGCAATGGGCTTTGCATTTAGTCAAGTTTTTTCTGTAGACTCTACTCAGAAGTGAAGATTTATGTAGTACAAGAAGGAAAACAGTGAACATGAAATGTGTGAATTCAAAGCAAAGTAACATCTGAGACGGAATTACTTATTCCTCGATAAGCGGCGAGGGACTGTGGACACTGGTAGAAATCCAAGTAAGATTCCAAAGAGACCAAGCAAGAGGGGTTTCTATCTGAATCGAAGCCTTTAGCAGCTTTGACAATGTCTTTGTGTTATTCTTGTGGGATGTGAACTAATTCTTGGACAACAGGGGGAGGGTAGATAACAGAAACATGCTAACAATGCAGCACTTGAAAACAGGCCTGGTAAGACCAGCATGCTGCTGTGCCAGCACTGAGTAGAAGCTAAATTTAGGGACACGTGTAAGGTACTGGGCACAGTGGCATGGAAATGCTACCTGGGAACTGGAGGAGGACGGTGCTCTAAGACTTTCTTCTCCATATTGTTCCAGATGGTCCATGTGCCTATGTTGACACCGGCTCTGGAAGGACTTGTCAGCTCATCCCTTTCCCTTTGAGAAACTGAGGTAAGGAGGGCAGCGGAATACAGCCACGAGTACCTTCTCGTGGAGGGGCATGCATATAACAAACACTAGCTAGTGGGACTGAATGCCAGAAGTTTGAAGATGTTTTGGTGCAGATAAGCCTTCTAAAGTTCAGATACTTATAGAAGGCTTATCTGCATTTATCTAAAACCTTGTTGTCAGGAAATCACAGGAGAAAATCTCTTGTGAGAGACTGGATATTGTCTGGCTTTGTGAAATACTGCAACAGCTTTTCTTGCCTACTGATTCTGGTCCTGGCAGAAATGAGGAACAGCAGAGATAATGTGTATACTTGCTCACAAAAAAAATAGAGCAAACCAAACATTAATTTAGTTTTTTTCTCAGAAACTATTATTCAGACTGAATTCAATAACTTTATTCCAGGTAAAACTTCGTTCCATTTTTCTTCAAGTACCTCTGTACCCCTTAAACTGTCACCGGCATAGTTTCAAAAGACCATTCCAAAAAAAGCAAGTTGTATTTAAAAAATTGTATTTCCTTACTAATTTTTGAGAAATTACATTGGATATTAAAAGAACTCATCTTTCTGCTTCTGATGACATTTCCTTCCCCTTTCCACGCTGCTTAGGGTTGAGACTGACAGTGACTGGCCAGTGGCACTTTTGATTCTAGACAACTTCACACATATTCACACAATAAGGCCCTTTAATTGTTGAAAGCATTTTGGAGGAATTAAAAAAATGCAAGGAAATGTTTCTGCTTTGTTTAGGATGTCATGGGAGCTCATATTTTTAAAATCTAATCTAAATTTCAAGTAAAAATTGATCTCAGCTGTCTCTTAAAAAAAAACTTCCCTTTCTGGGGTAAGACTGTCCTTGTTGGTCCAGTTATTTTCTCTATGAGAAATAATTCTGTCTTGTCTCAGCCAAACTACTGAAAAGTCAAGAAAT